TATGGGCAGACTTTATTTGAATAAACTGGTGTTGCTTATACTTAAACTATGTGTATAAATATGACACCTCTAAAAATATTGTGGCTGTATCCTTTGCTATATACTGTTAGGGTGAATCACAGCCCATCTGTGCTTCAGTCTTCCAGTGTGTACAATGGAGATAATAAATGCTGTGCTGATTCATGAAGTTAATGAAAAATAAAAATTTGCTGATTTCTGGGCAGGAATGTGAAGTGTTGCAAATTTGCTGCTACTAATATGAAATTAAAACTTACGGAGTCATTTTGATGCCAACAATTCAAACGTAAACAATTCACAACAGTTTGTGTCTCTGAATGGGTATGACTGTATGGCACAGTTCGGTGCTACCTGGAATAAGCTAATTTAAGTACAGAAAAGGAATAGTCTGTTAGCATAAGGACCAGCTTGAGTTAAAATAACTACCTCCCAGCAGTTAATGCAACTACGTTTCTTGCAACTTGCTTTCTCTCCTGACTCTGAAGTTTGCGTGGGCATGCTTTATATTCTTCTCTTCATTGTAGCCATTCCAAAATGTTATTCTTGGGATACCTCCACAGCGCAAGGCTGGAGAAGGCCAGGGAGCCCAGTGAAGATCCAGCTGTCTGCGCTGATTAACGGTTAGCTCACTCCCTGGTTCTTTTTTCTTTCCCGGAAGGTCTCTCCAAGACAATAGCTAGGCTTTGTTTTGGAGATAGTCCACTCTGGAGGCAGTACGCACCATTTTTTGGCTTTTGCCATCCTACAGCACTCTCCCAACATGGACATTTGGATCTTTGAACATGCACAACACACAACTCTCACTTCCATGTTCTGAAAATGCAGTATTGCTGGGTTACAACGTAATCTCCAGATTGTTTTAGATACTTTGAACTGAAACATACTCAATGCTAATAATGTCTTGGGTGCGCGGGGCCAGATAATGAGGCCCAAAACCCCTCCACCAAGCGCTGCGAGGGGTGGGTGTGATCAGTTTGCAATAAGGGGAGGTATTTCTAAGCTGTGTGGATGTGAGCCAGAAGGTACCGTTGGTCTTGTATTTAGCAGCGCAGGCCTTGGTCACTGCGAGTGCTTTTGACCCATGGGTGGGTTGGCTCTGCTCTGCTGCTCCAGAACAGCTGCCTCTCTTCTGTGTAGCCAAACCTTTGCTTTGGCTCATTTTTCTTTCTCTTGTTTTTCTCAATTACTTTTCTTTCCTTACTCTTACTTTTCTTACTGTTTATACCTTTTCCCCCCTTCACCTTAATCCTCTCATCTTTCCTCTTCCCTCTAACACAGCTGACCAGTACAGACTTGATGCTGTGCTGGACGGAGATTAAGATGCAGGAGCACAGAGTATAAGCACATTTTACGTGTACTGCCTGAGTCAACACGTATGCGTGCACGTGTCTGCTGTCTGTATTCTCATTTCTAGCTCTGCTAGAAGCTGTTATAAACACAGAGAGGGAAAGCAGATGGCTTTCAAGGAGATATCAGCTATTTTAAAAAAAACAGCAGAAGCATTTTTGAACTTGGGAGTAAGATGGAGTTGATTAATACCATTTTTCCTATTCCCTCACTACTGCCATTCCCTCCCAACTATTACAACTTTTTAAAAAAATAATTAGCAGAAGCTTTCTGATTAATCCAAGCCCTTCTTCTTTGTATAAGGACAGTGAAGATCCCTTTTCTAGTGCAGAAAGTGTTTGCTGGGGAATGCTTAGCACTTGTATCAGTCTTGCACTTAAAAACCTCCAACAGGTTTATCCTCCACTTCTGTCTTTTAATGTAAATGCCCTGAAAAGGACAGAATTATGCAACAGCAAATGGCAGTACTTTTTTTACATCAGGCTCATTGCACTCTCGCATTCATGTTCATTGATCATAACGTGGGCATGTTACTCAGTGATTTGCCTTTCTGAGCAGCCATGAACATTAAACTTCTGAGGATTTCATGGCCTTGAGGTTAGTAGCTTCTTGGGAGCAGAGCAAAGCAGAGCGTTAAACTGTATAGCAGATTTTATTTGTCAAGTTTTATTTTTGCCATGACAGAAAACTAGCAGGATGCTTTTTCCACGGGTGTTTCCTTTGCTCTGGCTAAAACAGATTACTGACGAGGGAAGAGCAAATTTCCATTCTTCTGCACATCTGCTGAATGTTCCTTCTCCGTGTGGAGGGCCACGGTTCAGCCACAGACATACGAATGAACAGGATGAAGCATGACGGGTCTTGAAATGTCTTTAGGTGGCAGAAGCTGGCTGTAATTCTAATTTTTTTTTAATAAGGACTGTTTGATTTTTGGTGCTTGAGTTTGGAAACCGTCAAGCTAGCAAAAATCTGACTGTGTTTTATGTTTGGGTCTATTATATAGAGATATGTCGGAAAACTACTTAATATCTTATATTTTCCATTTAAGAAATATGTATTTTCTCTGTAAGAAAATAATTCTAAAGAAATGAGATTGGTTTTCCTTTTTTTCTCCTGCGAGCAAGTAGTGCTGGACAGTCAGTGAGTACGGTGGGTAGAAAGCCTCATTTTACTGTTGTTATTTAACTAGGATTTTGTGATTTTATTCATGACTTTGAAGGTTTGGGGTGGAGGGGAGAAGGAGAAAGCCAAAGCAGGAGCAGGATTGAAGGTCATATTTTGACCTTTGCGCATTTTTATCCAGGTATGGCTGAATTCATTGAATTTGCTGGTCAGCAAATTATCATGTACCTCACATAGTCTTTGAATACCAGTTGAGGTAAGGAAATGGACAATAGCTGCAGAGAAACTTTGGGTAGATTCCTGATTACCTGGAACCTCAGTAGTGCTAATGGATACTTTGAATTTCCTTCATTTTCAGAGGATTTCCATAATTTTCATGTGAATTAAGTACTAGCTGACTGTTCTATTGGCATAGGTATTGTTTGGCTTGGTATTATTGTTATATTTGGCATAAATATAAGCAAAGCCCATGGACAGTTCAGACTGGGTTAATTCACACGCAAGCTGGACCATCAAAAGATCAGTCAGTTGTAATAATCAATGTTTGAAAGATACAGCATAAAATACAGCGTCTGGAGCTGCAAATACATACAGAATAGTGAAAACTTGAGTTTTACCTGCAAATTCATTTTTTCTGAGGTAATGTGTTTAAGAATTCTAATACCTATTCTGGCAGAAAAGCTGTTGATGACACAATTGTCTCATGTTTTAAATAATATGGGTGGCAGAAGCAGAGAAAAATTATACACTTCAGTGACACTTCCAATATTTTTAGAAAAAAAATCAGTGATGTGCACTTCACTAAACTGTACATTTTATTCGCTGTGAAAGTTAGTCTGCCCGGTCTGACCAGTAGCTGATAGGTGATTTCTTGGATATTTGCCACTATGTATTCACAACATGTAGCTGTGTTATAATAATTTTACAAGTATACTACATTTATTATCTGTGATTAAAACTTAACCACAAATTACAAAATAACTAAGCAAATGCTTTGTTTTGTCCAGAAAGTAATTAAAACGTATCCTTTGTATGCAGATAGGAAAAGGAAAAGCGTGGAAGAGTTCTTAAGCACTCCGTAGCCTGATATCCTCAGAAAGGTTAGACGAAAAGTCATAGACTGTGCGTTCAAAACCTGAGGCATGCTGCATTAATCTTTTGTCCCGCTCGCACTTGTCCGCTGAACGCTCTTAGCTCAGACGCGTGCAGGCTAAGTGTGTGTGTAAAAGCTTGGTGAGCGGGGATACTGAGACTGAGATTAATCTTGCCAGGCTTCAGTAACCTAAAAGGTGCCTAAGTTTAAGACAAGTGTCTAGGCTCCTTTGATAATTAATGACTTGAAACGGGTACTTCCAGAGCGCAATCTCACCCAAAGGGTAGTTGGCTAAGAGAGGTCGACTCTATTAACTGTAGAGAGAACAATTAGCTGTTAGCTGAAGATAGGTGAAATGAAAGCCTCTCTGTCATCAGCTCTTCTGCATATGAACAGCTTTGACAAATTGTGGTCTAACACATCCCTATCTTATTCCCAGTGTCCGCGCACAACGTTTGGACAATGCTGTATGTAGATAGATCTGAATCTTTATGGGAGTCATATGCATCATGCTAACAACATAACATACATGCACTTTCAAAGTCCAAGAATTTCTGAAAGAATTACGTGTACCACCTCAGTGATGACTAACTTCTGCTGCTGTGGACCCACCAGGGCTCAAGAACGTAGTTATGTGTGGTATTATCAGTTAAGATCAGATTCTTCTGCAGATTGTTCTGTGTTCTGCAGTCTCAAGGCAGGATAAAACTTGATACTGTCCTCTGAGGAGAAGGTAGACAACAGCAATTCGGGGTGGGCTCGGATTTCTGAAATATTTTGTTTGAAAAAGATACAGATATGTACTTATTGGAATTTATAAAACACTCATAATATTTTTACAAGTCTGTCCAACAGAGAAATTTTGTGGTGGTAATGAACTGTGCTATTGTAGAGCTTATTTTTATAATAACATCGCCTTACATTAATTAGCGTAGTGCAAAAGCAACTGTTTTACTATGTCAAAAGCTGTGTATCTCTGTGAGATAATATTCCACTTACAACCATATTCCATAAGCACTATCTCTTCTACGTACTAGCAATGAACTGCTGCTCAGACTATGCATTACTAGTAGGGCAAATAAAGGTATTAAATCCAAAATACGATAGAAATGCAGAGTCTTATAGGATAACTTGTAAAATTAATAAGAATTTAGAAGTAAAATGTGACTACAGAACTGTTTGCCATTTCACCAGCCTAAACCTTTGTGTTAGTACATACAGTTGCTAACAAGGTAATTGTAAACCAGGCGAGTGCTTTTAAATTAAATTAAAACTGTATGAATGGTTATCAGAATAAAATAAATTTACACCAGTCACACTCAGAGTGATTGTTCTTGGATGCTGAAGGGTATACAGTGATGGAAAAATATACATTGTTCAGTGCTTTGTTTAACATGTTTGCTTTTTTCCTCACAGTACAGTGCTGTGGATACAAATCCTTTATCTGTGTATATTATGCAGCCCATCTGGAACGAAATTATTAAGGTAAGAATTTTATTTAATAGAAATAGCACATGATAATGTAAGATTTTTTTTTTAAATACAGCATGTATTTTCATTTTAAAATACATATTGATTGATAAAGCTGAAATTAAGACATCTGTATAAAACCTCCAAATGTCACAGGATATATAGCTATATTTAAGATGAATATGTTTGGATTTTGAGGTGCTTTTTTTTAGAGAAACAAGGTTTATTTATTTTTTTCTGACGGCTATACAAAAGGCATCCACTTCTTTTTTACGTCTTTCATTATAACATCTTTCATTAAACAGCTTTGCAGACATTGAAGGGTTTACTTAGTACAAATTATTTTTGCGCAGCATATGCCGCCTAACAACAGCATGGCTTTATCTCTGTGCTGTGCACATGATTTTATGCAAGTGCTGTCTCATTTTCTCCCAAGGGTACTTGCTCGAGGGAGCTAGGCATTTCTCTAAGAAGCTGAAAATGAGAGCGGTTACCATGATCACCGTAACGATTGGAAGATGGCATCTCTTGAATGCATTATGATCTGCAGTTTTTAAAAATAAAACCGCTCACAATTAGTTTTGCTGTTGTTGGCAGGAAAAAAGCTGTATCTCAAATAAATATGAACTTTATTGATCTCCAAGGAAGCAATGACTTCTGCGTCTGCCTCTTTAGGGGAAATCTTTAGATTGGAGCAGACTTGAAAACAAACCTCTATACAAACAAAAAAGGATGTGTGTGGCCAGAGTGCTGTTGGATCTGCCATCTTTGGGTTCTATAATTCAGGTATTGCTTATGCTTGATATAGCAGGAAAATCATAATCTCTCGTTCATAACCTCAATGTAATTTCACGAAAGTGTTTATATGACCTAACTTAAGAATTAAAAAACAAGCCGAACATGGTATGAGAGAAAAACAATTCAAAGATGTGAAACTGAATTCAATAATTCAGTTCAGAGGCTCTGTTTTCATTCCCATCGTAATATTGAGGAAAACAATGAGGCAGAAAAGCCTCCCCAGCACTCTCGAGTCCAGCATGGGAGATGAGCAGAGGCTTGACTGTGCACTTGCACTTTGGTTTAGGAGATCCTGGGTATTCATCTGCTATCAAATTGAAGGGAGAGTATTATAAGTGAAAAACTTCCTTTGGAGATAAGTTCTTCTAACGGTTGCAGGGTTTTCCCAGAAGAAAAGCAACATTCTTGACTGTGCCCGTGTAGCATAGGGTGATAGATCCTAAAAAATGTGACCTCTTTAGATTTTTTTAAACCTCCTTAAATTTTAGGTGAGCATGATTTTGTTCACTTCTTGCTGGAGGAGAACCCAAACCAGAGCACAAACCTATTTCAAAAGCTGGGAGATGTGAGTACAGAACCAAAGACTGGAGTGGCTGCTGTCTGTACTTCGGCATTTGGTTTGGTTTGAACCCTGAAGGTGCAGCAATGAATGTGCTGCTTTGCCTTCGGGTGCAAGAGCGTTACAGGATAATTCTCAGTGATGTATCACAAGGATTTAAAGGGAAATGATATTGCTCTCAGCTTTTGTAGAAGTAGTCATCCTAACATTAAAAGATACTGCGGGGTAGAATCAGAGTCCTGTAGAGGAGCTGGAGAATGCACAACTGCAGAGGGGAAAGTAGTATGTAATGGAGATTGCAGTAGAGTCATCTTAGTTGCTCCTAGAGATAAAAATGAGCACTGGGGGAGCACCAAACTTATTGGCCAAAATTTAACTGTTTGTAAAATGTTAGTAGGAACGGAAGTTGCTAGAATGGTTTTGTTCCTGGCTAGATACTGAAACCAAGGTGTGGCAGTAACCGTTGTCCCAAACTCCATCCAAGAAAATTCTGCTCATCTGTTCACCAAAAAATACTTTTTTTTCTCTTGAAGTGCAAGTAAAACAGTGGTATCATAATAAATGTGATCAAGTCTTGTTTTTAGAAGGAGAAGCTTTGAATGCATTTACTCATCATTGATTTCTGTTGTAGCTTGTACCTGTTGTAAGCATTATAACTGCGCTATGACTGTGCTCTAGATGATAATATTTTGTAATCTAGAACATAATATTGAATTTACATTTTACAATATATTGTCCTATTTCTATTTAAATAGAACAGTGCATTGCAATGGGGAGATACAGTAAAGCTGGGATAATTTTTTAAGAAGAAGAAACATTGCATCTAATATGTTCATTCAAAATTGGGCAGTACCAGTGTGTTTCTTGATGACTGGGAGAAGTAATTTCTCTCAGTTCAGACATCCTAATACATTCATTTGCAGATATGGATCAATTATGTTTTAGTTTCTAATCTGGTGAAAATAAACATTCCACAGGGACTATTTTTACCAGATTCTGTAGTAGTTAAAAAACCCCCTAAAATTCACAGAGCCAAGCAAAAAAAAATTATGAGAACAGATGCTTGGGATTTGGGTCTGGCCTTTTGTATGTCTATGTAGTCCTAATTGCACCACAAGTTTCTCTCTATTCCCTAACACAGAATTCATTGTAAGACGTTTCCTATGTTGTGAGACATTATCATTCATTGTAAGATGTATTTCCTATCTTGTGAGAAATTAAGATGTTAGAGAAGATGTGGGAATTTATAAGCTGGGATGTTGACATACGTAAGGATGTTATGTTGTCATAACCCAGCTCATTGACCTATGGTGGGGATGCTAGGAAAGCAAAGAATTTGTGCATTTAAGTTAGAAATTCGCCTGGAAATCCTGAGCGTTACCTTCCTCTCTTTCCTCTTCCAAGGACATCTTTCTTACGTACTGTGTCATGTGCCTGTGTCAGTCTGAGTGTGATTTTTGGATGTATGTGCTTCAGAAACTTGTTGAATCTGGTGCTAAAGAAGAAAGTGAAGGGTAATGTTTCATGCCTGAATTCTATAATGGGCTTGAAGTACTCTGAGAAACTCCTGTCCGTGGCAGCTTTTCCACGTTGTATGAAACTATAGTAACACCTATATGAAACTACAGAGTAACAATTAACTTTCTCTACATGTTATTTAAAACTATTCTGATTATGCAACTCTAGGTATTTCACCTTTAATTAATCCAATGCTCAGTCCTTTTGCCTTTAATTAAGATTTTTATTTTATAATAAAGCACAATCATGTGCTTTCTGACAGATAATTGATAGTATTACTTAGCTACTACACGAACTGAATATTCCTCCTCTATTTGTATTCATGAAAAATCACATTTGTGCAGGACAATGAGAGGAAAAGGAGGAAATCCCACTGGGTTACACAGGTGTATGCCAGCTTCACTGAAGTCAGTTAACCCCCCCCCACCCCCTTGCCTTTATGAACTTTGATTTTACCACTAGAATTGGGCATGAATAGAATTTTAGTGGTTTCAAGTGAGTTAGTTAAGGAATAGTTCAAGTTTGAACAGAGCTTTCTATAAATATGTGTACTTTACCGTTTATTATCCAAATAGACAGTTGATGTATTAAAACATTTGCTGTTTGTATTAAGGCTTTTAGCATGAATGGCTGTAAACCCGTTAAAACAGAAATCAGTTAGCAGTTTGCGGAACTGAAAGTTTTTTGAAAGGTTCGAGCATACAACGGTTCTGCCAGAGAGCAGACGTGATTCTCCCCAGTGGCACCTCCAGTTGTATTAATCATGTAGCACATTGATGTATGAGACTTCTACTGTCTGTTAATTAGATAATAAAGATTGCAACCTATCCTTCTATAGGATACTAGTAAATTCAGGCTGTATTTTTCCAACGTGTGTTAGAAGTTAATCTTTAACACCCTGTAATTTTTGAATTGTGAAATAGGGTGATGGTAGTGTAATGCCAACCAAAAGAATAAGGGGCATTAAATATAACAAAAGGGATTTTGCAACTGGAATACTTTCCAAATACCTAGGCAGATTAGGTTTGGTAAGGATCAAAAGAGTATGCTTAGGGGTTTAACTGCAGGAGAGACTGTTTTCCTGAGGATAGATCTCCTGTAACTGTTTTTCATGGTGTGTCTACTAGCCAAAGGGATTGCAAGTACAGCAACATGCTTTGATGGTTTCCTTCTTAAAATACATGATGTTAGCAAGAAAGTGGGTTAAAGTAACGTCTTCATGTTTGCACTGTGTAAGCATAAATTATTTCCTGTAATAACTCAATAATGACATTGTGACTATTTAGAATGATAAGCCTAATTAGAAAGCAGACATTTATGGTGCCCCATTTTATTTAATAGTCAACAATTATGAATCATACAGGAGAAATCAGTCATTTTAATACAATACGTTGGATGACACCTGTATATCCATGTATCCACGGTTCATCCACAGGTTGTCTTAACACATTATTTTGGTCTATGTTTTAGATTAAAAGAGACCAATCTAGAATTTCTTCAGCATCTGTCCTTCTTATTTCGTGTAAGGTCATAGACGCCACACAAACTCCACAGCAGGCGATTCGTACCAAGCCTCCCTCTTACATGGTTTCTGCATCCCCAGGTAGCAAAATTAGGAGATGTGCTGCTGTCGCTGCGTGCTGAGCGTGCAGGCAACGTAAGAAGAGGGGACCGTGCAGTGAAGGGTTCCTCCTCAGGTGTTCTCCCAAAGGAGCTTCAGGGAACATTCGCTGCCACTTGTTCTTAGGGATTTAGAATTGGGCTTTTGAAGACTCAGAATGATAGACACGTTAAGATTTTTTATTGTAGCTGTATGCATTCCGTGATGTATTTTAAATACTGTAAGAGCTGACATACAGTATTTTAAACTTAGTGATAAAATCCTGCTTATAAGGAAAGCAACTATCAGATTCAATATTTTTCCTAACGTTATTAAAGAAAACATCTAAGAAATATAACTGAAAAATTCAGGAATTTTCATCTGATTATTGAAAGTTTACACTGTACATTATCAGTTGCATAATTTCTCCTAAATATTATTAATTGTTCTATAGTAGAAAAAGAGGATCTAATTGGGATAATTAATCAGTCCAAGCATTCAACTTCTATATGACAATTTTTCATGTAGTAATAGGATAGAGGAAATGTAAAGTTTTATATAAATTAGTATGTATTCATCTGTCTGTCCATCTAGCTACTGCAAAGAAATTAACAAAACATTTGATTTCAAAACTATTATTAGTTTTGAAATTATTAGTGTCTGAAATTATTTAGCTTCTTTTTCTTTAATATCATTTTGTAATACTTTATAATGTTGAAGTACTTTACATACATTTTCAGTCCTTAGGCACTCCAAAGAATTTGATTATAAGCCTCCAATATTTTTATATTTTGATATATTGATACTGTGTTTGAGTGACGGTAGCGATTGATACTTAGTATTTCTGCAAATGTATTCTGTCTAAAAATCATGTAGAAAGCTGTGTGTGCTGTTTCAGAAAGTATTTTGGAGAAACTGTGTGACTTGGAGAGAGTGTTACCAGAAAGGATCCCTGTTGCAGTGTAAGGAATACCTTAAAGCCACAGTGGATGAATAGCTGAGAACGCTTATGGGACAAAGAATTAGAGGCTTAGGTGAAGACGGAGACTCCTTTTCAGCACTCTACAAGTCAAATGAATTAATGGAGTGTTTATAATTTATGACTAAAGAGGGAGACCCTGCAGAAAGTTGCTATCTGGAGAAGTAGGGAGCTGCTTGTAACAGGGACCTAAAAGGGTAATGCACTCAGTGTCTGATTTTGTTAATGTTTTGAGTTGGAAATTATTGACATATTTTAGAAGAGGAAATTTCCTTGTTATAGTGTGGGAATAGGATGCTTAAAAAAACCTGCCACGTGGATGCTGAATTACCCCACTGGGGTGCTGCAGTCTTCTTTCAGTTGTGATACACACAACCACGAGAAGCTTTCCTTGGTGGCTGGGAAAATAAGGATAGTGTATAACATAGGAAATATGACATTTTTAAATGATATTTTAGCTGCAGTCAAAAATATCAGGCAAAAGGATTACATCTGAAAATAAATTTCAGAAATGAAAACTGTATTTTAATTTGAAAATGGGAAAATATGCACAAATCTGAACCTTGCTGATGTCATATACAGGCTTCTCCTTTCCTGATAAAAAATAAAAAACATTCAATTAAAATAGGACTTACAATTTGAAATGTAATTTTTCTTAGATTTTTTTTCTTTCTTTTTTAACAGATAGTGCCTTTGTGGATTGCTCCCAACCTGTTAACATTCTCTGGATTTGTCATGATTTTAGTTAATTATTTTCTAATATCTTTTTATGACTGGGACTACACTGCCTCAGGTAAATATCCTCATGTTGTAATTTTTCAGAATTAGTGAGCTGCTTATCTCATACTTCTGAATGATACAAGGAGGTATCAGATAACTTGAGTTGTCCACTCATTCCCTTAATAAGGCTCCATGTGCATATAGGAGGATCTGACCTCACACATGGCACTATAAATTTAGATAATTTTATTGAAAAACCTTATTTAATTTCATCCCTGAATATGGGTTTCAGCACGTGCTGCTTGAGGTCTATGGTAATATCTCATTTCATTTAAAGTGTATGCCAGGATTTACATAGACAGCCAAAAAACACCCTAACGTTCTTCATAAAATTTTCATTGGTTTCACATTTCCCAGTACCTAAATCCATGCCTGGATGGGTTAATTTCCCTTTAATTACTCCAACCCCCCATTCAAGACTGCTTCTAGACAAAGAAGAAATAGTTTCTAAACAAATGTCTCTTGAAATTATGACTTTCAAAGTCCAAGTCCATATTTGCTCCTCATAGCAGACCAAGTCAAAAGCTTTTTGGAGCTGATTGCTCCTGAGCACAGGGCACGTTCAGTTCTGGGCTTCTCAGACCAGCTGTTGGAGCCTACAGAAAGTAGTAAGCATCTCCCAGGTGATTAATATATAAAAATCTTTGCCTTTCTTTAAACTAGACAATTTGGTGAAGATTTAACTCTTTTATTTCCTGAAACAATTACGTTTGGGTTTTTTTGCTGCCTTTAATTTCTTATGCCTGTGGTTAGGTTCAGGAGGTACGCTTTGGCATGAGCTGTTTGTACATTTATCACAATTCTAGAGGCAGAGGTACTTGTAAGCAGTTTTTGTTCAAAAATAATCCTGCATGAGCATTAAGTTTTCAGGACCAGCATATTATGTAGTTATCTGGCCTCATCCTTAAACACTTGGTTTTTTATCAATGCAGCTGATATTTACTAAGTTTTGTAATAAAAGAGCATCCAGCACAGATCTTTTAATGGGATAATTTTATCTTGACACATTCCCGGTAGATACACATTGCACTTGAAGACATTTGAAATGGCGATTAAGTCTGTTAGAGCTGAGATTTCTATGTGCAAGCCCATTCTTGATTTCACACGAGAACAGTGCCCATCATTTCTCAATTGATTGAAAACGTTCATGCAACCTAATGAGCCTTTTGAGTATCGTGTATCAATCCCATACCTAGGATCAGAAATAAAAGACTTAATTTCCTGGGCAGATGGTTTTCATTCTACAGTTTGAAAATTTGCAACTAGGAGTCAGGAATTGCTATCTTTTCTTTCAGACTGGCAAGATGAGGCGTTGAGAGAAAGGTGGTCAGGGCACTGCTTTAGGTACTGGCACCTCCCCGTTCAGCAAGGACACACCTCTGTGTGCAAGTATTCACACCCTGTGTTCGGTGCCGAATGCCAGAAACCTGAGAGGGCTTTGCACTTACAGTTGTTTAGTGCTGGTGTAGTCTTTATTGGGTTATGTTTAAGTTAAATAGAACGCTCTTTGGAAAAAGGATTGATTTCTTTAAAAGAGCAACAATAACCATGGGTTATTGCTATCAGCGGAGCAATAACAGAACCCTGGGTTCTGCCCAATTCAGCTTGCTTTTCCTTTTTTTCAAGGAAAAAAGAAGGGTGCTAATACCTGTCCTAGCCTAAGGACAAAAATTTCCTGTTCAGATCTGTATGGTGGAAGTGTTATACAAACCCCATGTTGGCGCTAATAATAATGATCATGCTTGAAAACGACATCTTTTTGTCTTTAGATAGTACATAAACATTAGCTAATTTGTTGATGGATAGTCTTCCCATGACCTGTTAAAATTTTTGCCTGGTTACTATTATTATTTTGTGCAATACTAGAGTCATTTCAGGACCAAAAAAACTCTACCTTATCTTCTCTTCTTTATGGTATAAACACGTTCAAGCCCGCTCATTGCTTCTTTGGTAGAGCTCACTGATGACTTAAGGTCAGACACAAATATTTCAATCTGTTTGAGGTAGTGGGCTAATCAGTGGCAGCTTGCTCATATGTATACGCATATCTCAGTGGACTTCTTCGATGTTAACCACTGCTACACTGACTCACTACCCGATTTATTTCAGGTACCAGTCCTGGACTTGTTCCCACCTGGGTGTGGCTATTCAGTGCTTTTACCACCTTCTGTGCTTACGCTTTAGGTAAAGTACAATGAAATTACACGTCTGACGTCTTCATATAGTTTTATTTACTAGTTCGTTAGTGCTCAGCACTATAAAAATGAAGAGGATAGTGGATAAATTATTGATCTCTCTCCAAAACAGTTCTCTGAGATGGGAAAAAAAAAACCAAACCAACAACAAAAAACAGCCATAAGGCTTAAAAAAAAAAGGCCATTTTAAATGATATATTAGAGGTTCTGTGACTGTTGCTCTTATCTCTTTTGAAAGTTCAAATTGTTTTAGAGAAACAATGGAAATCATTACATAGCTGCAGTCATTGCTGTTGGGTTTCCTAAAAATCTTTGTCCCCCAGTGATGACATTTTGAGAAGCTCCCTGACACTTGCGTTAGCAAAGGGTGCTTTCAAGGACGGGGAAAACAAAGGGCTAAGCAGAGAAAAAGGAAAATGAATGTAGCATTGTGTTTTAACCTGTTAGGCACTTCAGTGCTTATGGTGTGTGTCAGGAGAGATGGTATGAATGTGGTGACAGGCCTGGGCTTCTTATGGAGATGAAGTATCATTGTTTTTCTTTCCTGTTGCTGTTTTTCTCCCATAACACCTATACCTCATTTTCAGTTTCATATTCCATTTTTACTTTTTATATCATACCATGACTGTATTTTTAGGTACATTGCATCTTGCTGTGCAGTGGTGTGAAGACATAGACCTGAACTGATGCAGATCTGGGAGTGAGATCCACATTAGCATGGCTTTCTTGCTTTCTCTTCCAAAGCTAACTCATTCCAAACTAGTCTCTCCACAACGTGGTGCAACAGAGCTTATTTTCTGGGGGGACTCAAGGTGGCATATTTACATGGACTGCACTGTGCTATGTAAATGTACCCTCTCTTTTGGAGCTGGTTCTTATAAGGCTCTCCATTGCAGAGTGTAGCCATACATTTGTGTGCCATACCTAAGATACCCAGGCTAGATACAAATGTTTCTAGATGTACACTGCAGTGTTGTGCAAAGATGCTGGCCCCTTTTGGTATCAGACCCATGCATGTAGAGCCGTCTTGATTAACCTGGGTGTATCCCCTTGTGCAGACATCTCCCTCTGCATTGCGAATGCCTTGCCATTTCTATTCAAGTGGCGAGTTTGTGCCAAGATTATTTTGTCCAGAATTTCTTTGTATTTGTACCATAAAAATCACTGGGACAACCGTCCCTTGAGGCTGCCTACCAGTCAGATTTCCCTAACAGCTCTCTATAATCATTAGCAGAAGCAGCAGTTTCTTTTGTGAAAACCATTCTTCCCTACAATGTAATTGTAGGGAATTTAATGAAGTGGCTATTGTTTCATAAATAGGAATTACATATTGGAGCTGTTAGTGTATGACACCCCAGAAAGCTCATTGGAAATTCGGCTTCTGAGGTTCTTAATGTAGATGTTATTTGCCAGTGAGGCCTATAGTTGGAAGACAAGGAATATGATGTTGACAGTCAAAGCTGTAATGAACTGATGTATATGTAGATTTTTGTGTGTGCTGTCCAAGCCACTTCATGAAATATTTAGTCTCAGATTTAATTCTGCATGGCCAAGATTTCCCTTTGGAAGACTGCAGAGAGCCATAATAACTAACCAAATATGCGGCTTTAATCTCTCTCAGCTTCTTCTTAATGACAGAGTTACTCTCTCCAAATTCCCTAGCATGCTGCTCTTTTTCCTCCGCTTTGTTAAGGTGGTTTGGTATCTTTTCCCTTTCCATAAAATGGAATGCTCTTTGCTGTTATTTTGAATTCCACTATTTAAAAGTTATATAAACTTTAATAAAACTGAAGGGTTATGAACCTTCATGAGAGAAAATCATAATATAATAATTCTAAAGCAGTGGAAGTGTGGGACAGCATATGTCCACTATTGAACATACACCACTGATGGCATGAATGATGTCAAACTGAAACCTAAAACAGAAAATATTTTCAGTCTCTTAAAAAGCTAGTGAAACCACATGGAAAATGTGGGTAAAGGTTTGTGAAAATCCAATTCTACGTATGTGTTATACAGTTCCTGTGTTTTCCCCCATGTCCATTATAATTAGAAGTACTGTATTTCATGACACCATTATAAGCCTAACTCTTTTTAGTAAAATGTTCCTACAAAAAGAAACCCACTCTTTCACTGATACACATATTTTAGTATCTAATGCAAATACTATTTTGTGACAATGTAAAATAATTTATGAATAGACCAATCTACTATCATTCTCGTTAAAAAAGTATTACTCCTATAACTGAATTCTCTCCGATTTGGGATAGATGTTCTTGAAATAAGAAAGACCATATACTGTTTAGGGATGTTTACATACCTATTTGCTAGTTAAGTTTCAGAAGCACCCTAAAATAGACTAAAGAATTTCTACATTTATAACAACACTATTCAAGTAACCTCAAGCTTATACACACAGTTTTCTTTCTGCACTTTTCACTAAGATGCCGACAATTAAATGGCAATGTTAATGGAGAGAGAATGCGGCTCTAGAAGGGGGCAAGCCATGTTTGAAATCCTCTATGAGATCTTTAATTTTTAGAGCTGTGAGAACTGTCTCAAGAGATTTGTATTTGAACGGAGGATATCTCACAGCTGTTTAGGTATTACAATAGGGAGATAGTCTAAAATTTGTACAAAATGAAATTGCATGTTTTCTTGGTTTAGATCCCTGAAGTATATTTACATTAAACAAAACTCAGGGTACTGCCAAATAATCTGGAGAAGTAAGTAGCATATGATCTATAGCAGCTGTGGAGTCTTTGGTCTCACTCTGCTGAGTTGTATCTCTAGTCAGTTTTGGGTTACTAATGCTATCAATAGCTAATAATTGTTAGCCATAGTATCTTCCAAGTAACATTAAAAAGAAAAAAATTATCCATGTTATTTTGAGATTCAGGATAACAATAAGTAATCTGTAAAGTTTGTTCTGTGTACTTTTTCCTGAGGCTCATCCTGCGTATTTACACTTAAGAAGAAGATATTTCTATTTCTCACCAGCACGGTCTCAGAAAAGAGACTAAGGGTATGGTTTGACAATAGAACTAAGAAAGGTTACAGCTGCTAGACGCCCTTCCCCTGCATTCACCACCCCTCCCTTGTGCCATCTCCCTTGCTTTTTGTACCATTCACAGCGCCAATTCTGTTCAGTGACCCAGAAGAAAACATAATATTTGCTGTCTTTCTATCAGCTGAGCAGGCTGCAGGTCCTCCCCTGTTCAACAGCAGTGAACTCTCAGATCGACTGAAACCATATTGTCCAACTGCATCCTCAGAGTGAGATCCAGTACAGTGTTGGGGCATCTTTCAAGCACTTAAGTATTAAAAGTGATCAACACATAACTCACCTTAACAGAAAGTTGTTCTTAGAATCATAGAATCATTTAGGTTGGAAGAGACATTTAAGATTGATTCAAACCATAAACCTAACACTGCCAAGTCCACCACTAAACCATGTCCCTAAGCACCACATCTACACAGCTTTTAAATACCTCCAGGGATGGTGACTCAACCACTTCCCTGGGCAGCCTGGTCCAATGCTCAACAACCCTTTCAGTGAGGAAATTTTTCCTCATGTCCAATCTAAACCTCCCCTGGCGCAACTTGAGGCCATTTCCTCTCATCCTATCGCTTGTTACTTGGGAGAAGAGACCGACACCCACCTCGCTACAACCTCCTTTCAGGTAGTTGTAGAGCGCCATAAGGTCTCCCCTGAGCCTCCTTTTCTCCAGGCTAAACAACCCCAGTTCCCTCAGCTGCTCCTCATAAGACTTGTTCTCCAAACCCTTCACCAGCCTCGTTGCCCTTCTCTGGACATGCTCCAGCACCTCAACGTCCTTCTTGTAGTGGGGGGCCCAAAACTGAACACAGTATTCGAGGTGCGGCCTCACCAGTGCCGAGTACAGGGGGACGATCACTTCCCTACTCCTGCTGGCCACACTATTTCTGATACAGGCCAGGATGCCATTGGCCTTCTTGGCCACCTGGGAACACTGTTGGCTCTTGTATCCTAAGATTTCAACTGAAAGACTCTTTAAAATATCTTATGTAGGCACACACAAATAAATTTTGTGAAATTTGCTCCTTGAGGCTGCCACATAACTGTTAGTCATTGAAGCGTTTAACATCAGGCAACCTAAATGCCTTAGTGAATCTACCCCTCAAGCAGTCTGAAGTCTCAAAAGGTCCATAACACCAATGGACGGGCGAGAAGCCCTGTGGACACTTTTCAGCACTTTCATTGAGAAACCGGTTGTAGGGACTGATATAATAAGTGTTTAAAGACCACTGAGGACAAGTAATTATGAATGTCTTTCTGAAGCTTCGAAGGAAGGTGGCATTTAGTTTAAGAGCTGAGGTAAGGACAGAAAAATTACTTGATAACTGAAGCGAATATTTTATGAGCAGTCCTAACATGTTGGTATTGAAGGGACTGTTGTGCTTCAGCTTGCTGTCATTGGTGTATTTTTCCCATATGTTATATAGGCAGTAGTGAAGTGTATATGAAGAAAATGACTCTTCTTGTTGTGCTCTAATTCTTTATTTCTTTTCCTTTCCCAATCCTTCTAGACTCCATAGATGGGAAACACGCTCGAAGGACTCAGTCCAGTACTCCTCTGGGAGAATTATTTGACCACGGGCTGGATAGCTGGGCTACCTCCATTTTTGTGCTTTCTTTTTTTTCTGTCTGTTCCCGTGACAATGGGAAGACTGGAGTTTCTGTATATACAATGTATATATATTTAAGCATTGTCTTGTTTAACTTTATGTGTTCACACTGGGAGAAATATAACACAGGAGTTCTTTTTCTTCCTTGGGGATACGATATAAGCCAAGTGGTAAGTATTTATCATTCGTGTTTTGGTTTTGTTTTTTTAACTATGTTAGCGTTTTCATAATATTACAGAAATAGAAAAATAGAGCTCAAGGCCAAATGTATTTGGCCGAGATTTTGAATGTGAAATAGCATAACTTTAAAAGTAATTCAGAAATATTTCCTGCATTTGCAAAGAAGGGATGCTCTCGAGCAAATTGTCAGTATCAGAGATTCATTGCCTTGCAGGAAAAAAAAGGCTTGCAGCAAGCCTACCAGTCAGATAGTGCCCATGAGAACGTAATTTAACTGCATTTGATTTGTAGTATTAACAAAAATTGTTATGCTATCTGAAGCCATAAGAAATTTTCCCACCAACACTAGGTTCTGAGGCACAATGTGAACTAGTCCAAGTCGTATTTATTAACAGTAATTATACAGTTATACAATACTAGACCTTCCCAATTCTACCACCTCTTACATCGAATGTGGTAATGGAAATAGCGTTGTACCTATGCAGCGAGCGTTAACTGTTGTCAGTGTCAAGTGAGTTTTACCCTTGAAAAAAAGTCAAAGTCATACCATTAAAGGTTTCCTCTCCGGGAATGGCATTCAGTAACATGAATTCCGTATCAGCCCACAGCCAGTCCCCAGCTGAGTTCTTGACCGGCTTACAGCCCTACCTTGAGGTGGACCTCTTCAGAAACATGCCCAGGGCACCACGGGGAGTGGTGGCCTCAGTGCACAAATGAGTAGCAGCAGTAGTAGCAACAAGCTCGTTGCACGGCCAAGGGCCCAGTGCTGGGATTTCTGGGCTGGCTTATCTATTTCTTAGACAGCCAGGCTCTTGCAGCCTGAAGAGACCAGTCCCAGTCTTCTGAGCTTCCTGTCACAGGCGTGAGATGAAAGGTACAGCCAAGTATACATAATTGGAAAGAAGTTTGACAAATATTCAAATACGTGTTTTAATGGAAATATAGTATTTGAATTAATGGCTGCAGATGTATTGCTGTAAACATAATCAGAATCCAGTGGTTTGAGAACAACTCGGAGATGGTGGTCCAGCTGTGGTGCATCTGTTTTGTCCCCTAGAAAATAGGCCTGTGAGAAGAAGTTGGCTCAGGACTAAGACATTAGGCAGCCAGCTGGTCTACAAGTTTCAGCCATGTCTGTGTAAGGTTTCTTAGTGAAGTTCTTCCAGCAGGAGAGGAATAGCTATGTTCAAACCAATTTCACTTGTTGCTCAGATGATTACTGTAGATATACACATGAATGTTTAGAAAGCTCTTTTGGGTTGCTGCAGCATCCAAACTGTATTAGTGGTTAAATATGGGAGTGGGTATCAACTAGCGGAGCAGTACTGTTAACTCTGTCAGTGCCTTTTAGTGACCTATGCCTCTGTCACTGCTTTCCCATCTGGGAAATAATGGTAATAACATTTCCCTGCCTGACAGATTTGTGGTGAGGCTGAATTTCAGTAAAGTCTGTAAACTGCTTTGATTAACTTGGATGCAAGGTGCTAACAAGTGCTATTTCCTGTTCCCCTCTGATGCTGAATTGCTGTCCTGCATGCTCTCTTTCTAGTAACTTCTGTGATGATTTGCCTACAGTCAAAATGATAAACATATAAATGTAAAGATTTTTTTGATGCTATACAGCGCAATCATCAACAGTGGTGGAAGATTGTACTATTGAAATGTCTGTAGGTCAGTTTTCCCATCTGTAAAAATTAGCTTTTGTAGTTGTGATTGCTTATGAACAAAGATAAGGCAGGATTTGTAGATCGAGGTAGTATTTTTTCCATTTGTCCAAACTACATTTCACGCACACCAGAAAGTACATAACGTATTTTTTTTTTAGTTGTACTCATTAGTCTAGTAAAAGGTCTTAATTCCCCTACAAACATTGCCTTGCTCTTGTTTTGTAAACCCATTCAACAATTTTGTATGATGTGTGCACTACTAAAGGTAGTGCTCTTCATCTCCAGCTACTTGGAGGAGAGGATACTGAGGACATTAGCAAATGCCTGATGATGAGTATGGAAGGTAATGTTTCCCTTGCTGGTTTTTCCCCCACCACTTCGCTGCCAGATATTCCCACAGTCACATTAAGAGGCAGAGAGGGCAGAAGCGCTCGCAGGCTGCTTTCAGACTAATTCCCAGCATTTAGTTCACTGTTTCCTCTGTGGTGTTCCTAGCAGAATTGCTGCATGAATGCGCCTCTCTGCTCTGTCTTCAGTAATTTCACCGACAACATGATGCTATTGCATTGGCATGTCAGACATTCAGGTGGTCTAGTGCCCTGCTTCTGCTTTTAAAATTTATGGTAGTCAGGAACTTTGGGCTTTGTTATTGCCACAAAGCCCAGGAAATACAGTAATTAGTATAAGTGTGCAAACAGATAACTGTTGACCTTAATGAAAGCTGAACTGGCATGCAGCTCCCAGGACGCTACTGCTGAGTCAGCTCCACTGTGTATAAACACAGACAGCCCGCTCACTGGCTCTTTGTTAACTGTGGTATAAAAAGAGCTGCTGTTCCTCATGAAAAAATACCCCATTATAAATAGAGAAATTTGTGGGACTTGTGCAGATCACATTTTTCTGCGACTTGATGACTCGTCAGAACTGGTTACCTAATTGCGCTAGCTGGGCTGTAACTGGCACTCCAATTAGCTTTGATTACAGCAGACAGCCATTTATAGGAGCTGTGGTGTGTAAATTTGAACAATGGCTGTAATGTGTCTGAGAGATGCGTGGTCAGAGGGCTGTTACGTTTGTGGATCCAGAGTCAAGGAGGAGGCATCTGCAACAGTGAAAACTCTTCCCCCATCCTCCCTCCAGCACAAGGAGCTATCTTCTGCTGACTCCTCTGTGGGCAGAAAAAGATGCAGGGAGAGGAGCCTTTTTACGCCGTACCATCTAGACAATTTTCATGCACTTTCAAGTAAGCACAAACCCCCAAAAGTCATGGGCTGAAGAGAAGACTGAAAAAGAAACCCTTGCTATGTTCTTGGATACATCTTGTCACAAACCCAACCAAAGAAAGCTAATGCCTGCAAATTAAGTTTCTTGGAGGAAAAAAAAAAGACAAAGCTTTCCTGAGAAAGGCTTCCTGCCATGTGTTAATTTTCACAGACATTCTCTGGATTGTTTAAAAATCAATTTTTCTCCTGAAAGTTTTAATATTCCCCTAATGAAGTACTCCCCTAGTCCTGCTGTTGCTTTTCATAAGCCACTGCAGTTGAGTTCATAGTAGGGGAACAAAATGTTCATTTTTCCTTAATATGATGTAGTGATACGTCTGCTTACATCGATGCTGCCTTAAGCGTAACAGGGAGGTACCCTTTATATTTTTAAATAAAAGTTTAAAAGTGAAAATAAGAGCTGCGTGAGAGATGGAGTGACCCAGCCGATGCCATTCTCCTTCCCCTCACTCTCCCCAGCCAAGAGGGCAAGTGGGAAAAAAGCACAAAAGCACAAGCAGCAAATGGGAAAGGCAACAGGCAGCTCTCTCTGGCCCTGCCCTAGTCCTGTAAGGAGAGGATGACCAGAAATCCTATATACAGTCATGCCTGAAGGCATGGATGCTTGGCGCATAAGCCCCAGGTTTTCGGTTTGAGATGCTTTCCCAGCTGGTTCTGCCCGATGGCTTTGGACGGTCCCACCCAGACTCTCAGGGAGAACACTCTGCCTGCCTTGAAACTCTGAGTAAATGAACTATACGATGGAGGTAGCAACTGAAACATTGTAGAACTTACTTTTCTCCTTCCTTTCAGCCAGAACAGGAGAAGGGTTTTTTTGGATGCCATATACCAAGATTTCTTTTGACAAGCGGTTTACAAAACGCATGCTGAAATATGTTTCATATGACCTTTTCCCGGGAAGTACTGTGGCAGCCAGTGTTTCAGGAACTGGAAGAGAAATCCCGAGCAATGCAAGTGCACATCACATCTTTTAAAAACTTCTCTCCCTTCTGAGGGGCAAAAAAAAAGTCTCTATTAAAAAGAAAAATGAAGATGCAAATGTGTCGTTCTTTGGTCACGTTATCAGGGTTCAGAATCTTTTTCAATTTGGTTAAAAAGATAATCACTTTCAGGGTTTTTCTAATTTGAAGTGTCTGTGGAAAACATAGCCTTTCTTGTGAAGGAATAATACTGATTATTATTTAGTTCCAAAGGTAGGAGCGCACTGGAATTGTTGACGTAAAAGAACCGATAGCGGTGTGGAGGCGGTGCTGGCCAGGCCATGGTGTCTGCTTCCAGCTGCCTCCTGACCCAGCTGGAAACCCAACTCGGTACTCGGTTATCTGAGGGAAGGCCCATAGTGTAGCCATGTGAAATTTAAACAGCTAAGGACCTGCGGTGCACAGGCTCTTGCTGCAGCAGATTGCTTCATTCTTAACCACTCGATTATGATTCTACTCAAACCTTTCTTGGTTAATTAATCTTCCATGTGCCTTTAGCTGTTTACCTATCACATACTGCATGTCTAAATGCAAAATTACCTTTTTAAGGCATATAAAAACCTATTTTTATAGGCTAAATTTGCAACCTTTAACTATTTATTGAAAGAAAAAATACTGAGAAAAAAAATAAAATGGAAAAATTACACATCACGCTAAAGCTACCTCCTGTTGAAATCACTTGTAGGAAATCATTAGTTCTTCCTTTTTTAGGCAAGTGTCACATTTGTTTTCAGAGGAAAAAAGTAACCTTGTATTTTAAATGACTTTGCTCTCCAAATGTTCAGTTTGAGCACCGTGTTAATGGAAAATATTTCAACACATGAACAATTAATGCTATTGGAATATGCTAGTGAAATTGAATATTACAGTAAAATTAATGTCATTTTTTGTGGAATCATAAAGAATTTAAAAGCATAGCCAGTATATTTTTTTAAAAAGATGAGAAAATGACTGATTTTTTTTCCCCATGTAGGTACATATACAGCATACTCAATGTGCCTGTGTGTAAAACAGAAATGGTAGATCATTAGGGAGAAAAAAAATGGATGTGCACACACACACAATCTAGAATATTTTGGTCACAAAACTTACACCTGCAGTACTGGAAAGACACGAAAGAGATGGTGATTTTAAAAAATCAAATACTTTAGAGGACAGTTAAAATGCTAGAAGCTAGGAGGTTTTGAGGAGTTACACTGCCTCATGGTTATATACAATTTTCTCAATGCCACATTAAAGAAGTAATATTCTGATTTTACAGGGGGACAAAGGTGACTATGTTGCTGTGATTTATAAAATTGTGACAAGATAGGGAGCCACTGCTCAGAAGCCAGCTGTCCTGCTGTTCAGCCATATCAAAGGGCCTACAAATTAACACCATATATTTCCAGATTTTTGTCTGCATAAGTACTCCTCCTCCTCATAGATAAGGCCTTGGCAAGCCAAACATTTTCCTGGTCAGATGCTGCAGTGAGTCGGAATCCAAGATTGGATGAGTCTGACACTAACTTGCTATATAGCCCTTACTTGTGTTGTTTAATTTGGACTTCTCATTTACAAAAGGTTGCAATTATTTTTACTTGCTAAAGACTACATTTATATCTGAAAAGTACTAAAGCCGACTGATGCCAGAGAGATGAGTAAAAAACCTGGCCATCTTTTCTTAAGTAGAATTATTCAGTTGCACTTAGGAACACTGCTTTATATTTTCATATTTTCTTTTTTTTTTTTTTTTACCAGCAGTGCATTTAAAAACAGCTTATACAGCTGATTAACGTACTTAGCTTTTGTCTAATAATTTTGACAATCTTCAATTTTTGCTAATATAGCTTAGATCAAGGGATGCAGCCGTTTTCTCATCCTTCCAGCTTTCTAAAGGAGGTCTTTGAGACCGCCTCAGTGAAGTCAAAGTTTCGAGTCCTTAAAAAACAGCACACCAAAAATTTGAAGCCAAAGAGTGTTTTTTCATACACTACATCTGTTTGTTAATAAGAGGCAATCTCAACCTGCGAGTGCTGCATCACCAAATCCCAGGGCAGGGGATTCCCCCGAGAGAGCCCGTTGCATCGACGCTCCTGTTCCTAGAGGTGTGCTGACATCTGACAGTGATACTCATGACTGCACTGCCAAAAGTACTGACTGTAATAACGGATAATACTGAAGTTCCTCTTTTATCGCTTGCCAAAAAAGTCTGTTCAGAATTCAACGTGTGAGGGTAAATTCAGGCTCCATCAAAGCCAGCTGGAGTTTTGCCATCAACTTTGATGGGGCCAGGAGTCCATCCATCATGTCTTATGGATAACATAATGCAACTCCTTCAGAAAGCCAAATGTTATCTCTGTTGTAGTAGGTTGCAAACCCCATTATACACATCCTTCATTTAGACCAAAATTTGACTCACTGTCTTCAATGGCCCGAGATGTAACTCTCATACCAGTGCCTGCTCTTCTCCGCTGCAGATCTGTTGTGCTGCTTGTTCTTGCAGAGGCAATTCAAACATCCAATTCTGCAATGCCACATTCAAGCAAAACTCTTAAAGAGCTGCATGCTGATAGGGCAAGAATCTTGCATTTAGATACAGACAAGTAAGTGAAGTCAAATATAGTGATACCTACGTGTTATAGGGAGTTTAAGTGACATCAGTGTTCTGCTACTAATCTGTGATCTTAAACACCCTGTTATCTAAACAAGAGATTTTCACTGTACCTTTAAATTAAAGCAATTAATTTAATAGAAAACTGGAAATGTGTTTATTGAAGTTAAAAATGAAGAAAAAACATAACATAGTAAAAAATGAGTATTTAAAAAAACTAAACAAAACATCGTAAAATCTATCATACAGGTAAAGCTGGAAAATATTTGTCATCCCAGAGTGAGAAGCTGAATTGGATGGAAAATATAAGGGTTACTGAATGTTCCCTGGGAACAAATAGATGAATATGCAGCCTTCTAAATGGCATTATAATTAACAGAGTTGTTTTAATTTAGAGCTAAAGTAAATGTTCACAATTCATTCTTAATCCAAGTCTAGAATAGTTCAGGAGGTTGAGACATGTAGCCTGAAACATACAGCCCTTTATGAGTCCTATATACAAAACTAAACAGCTGAGAACGAAAGGGCCTAGAGAGAGAGCGGGTCAGCAGTCCCGCTAGCTGGGTGCCGGGCAGCAGAAGGGGCTGCAGGGGGTAGGTGGCCTGGGCTAAGCCAGGAGACGGGTTTCAAGGGAGAGCGGGGTCCCTTGAGGAGGTGGGATCAAGGGCACCAGGGCTTGGGAACCACTGCATCACGTTCAGTGCTGCATTTGCATGTTGCACACCTGAAATGGTAAAACTTCATCGATTTGCACCATAAGTTGTAGGCGGTGCTGCTACAGGTAATACAATGGGTGTGAAAGGTATTGCTATAGGAGCTGTAGGGTTTTGACTGCATTAAGGTTTCTGACCTCAGCTGGGTCACAAAATTAATTCTGAAGAGAGAGTCGGAACTACATTTACATCTCTCCTGAAACTGGTGGCACTTCAGCAAGTGACTCGTGTATCAGTCCTTTCACTCTTAATGGCGCTTGACTACGTGTTTCTTTTTGTGTCCTGTAATAATGTTATCTGTCAAACAAATTAAAAATCAGGGAAGACTTCAGCTCCCTCCCCTTCTTTTTATTTCTTCACATTCAATTGAATTTTTTCATTATTTCAGGTGAGCTTAGATTTTTTTCCCCTCTCAGTTATTCTGATATGATCAGTTCAGGGGCTTGAGCTGCAAAAATAACCACACTGTTAATTCTGAAGTCTGTATGCAAATAAAAGAAAGTGCATGTGCAGTGGGGAAACCTGGCATTAAGAAAGGATTTAGAAATTAGGTGCTTCAAAAAGGTAAGTCAGTAGTACTTACCACATACAAACAGGTGCACGCATTAGCAGGGAAGTTGCTTGCTTACTGTATTTCATACATTTTAAATAATTTGTTGGTGACCCTGGAAGCTGATTCACTGCTTAGAAGTAACTGTTTTGGAAGTTAACTCCAAAAGTAACCTTGGCAGCATAAGGTCCTGTAAAGCAGAAACAGGAGGAAAATACCAGATTTTTTTTTTTTACTCTTGCATTTGTATTAAGATGATAAGCGAGATTCTGTGCCTTTAGAAGTAAAGGATTGAAAATATGTTATCCTTTTTCTATAGGTATTAATAGCAGCATATCTGCTCACCGGTGCTGTTGGGGTGGAAGTCTGGCAGAAGCCTTTCCTGTTTGGTTATTACATTACAGACGCATTAGTAATCTTGCTTATAGGTAAGTAAGTGTCCAGAGCCATGCAAAGCTACTGCTTTTCAATTATTTTTATTAGATACGTCTTATATTTCCTTTTTTTTTTTTTTCCCCTTTTATAAGTGTTGGCTAGTCCAAAAAACACGTGAATAGACCTGATTAAAAGGGCTAATACTGGAAGACTTTAAAAAAGTAGATAATTTTGGAAACGTTTTTCCTCACTGAATTACTATCTGTTGTGCACAAATAATACAGAAAATGTTCCTTATCTGCATGTACAGTTCAGTGCAGTGTGCTGGCTGGCTGGCTGGCTCTCAAAGTCTCAGGAACTCCTCGTGTCACTCAGGTAAAATGTCGCTCACATTTACATATATTAGAAGTTTAATGTTTTGGCCAGCAGCACACTATGCTCCAAAACATTATGGATAGAAGGAGTAAAGGCATTATTTAAATAATCTTAGGAGGCACAACTGTAAATCTGAAAAAGAGCCAGGTGGTTTCTAAGCTCTTCTTTAGAGCTACTTTAAGAACAGAAGTGATGCATTTTTCATACAAAGCAGTAGCCTATTTGCTCGTTATTTTGTACTGTCAGTGTAGTTTGAAATAAGCATAGAGCATTTTTCAGTTGCTATAGCTAGACTGAGGACAAGAGCAGTTACATTTTAATGAGTTAAAAACATGGTAATCTTAGCTAAAAATGCATATGCGAAATGGCTTTGATGTGTTGCTTGGAAGGTGAAGAAATTAGCATATAAATTTTAGGGATTTTTATATAAGCATACAAGTGATGAGAAGAGGGCACCAAAAAAGAGTGTTTAACACAGACAGTCTAGACTTACATCCCAAGAAAAGTCTTCAGTCCTTGAGCCAAATGGAGAGCTTGGATACAGATGCTCACCCAACGCTGACTCTAACTAGGAGCTATCATCTGACCACTTTGGGGTCCACTTTTGAGTCCACTGCATTGACATGTGCTCTCACCACCCTTTCCCATGGAGAGGTCTTCAGCAGGTACTGCCCCCAGCCTCAGCAGTGCTTCCCAGAATTCCCAGATTGGAAAGGACCCTGCGCTCAGGCTGTGCTTTCTAATGAGCAACGGGTGCAAGGACATGGTTTTGAGAGTCCTTTGTGCTTTACCCAGAGCATAAAACTGACCGTGTGTGACCAAGCTTGTAAAGTCCTTTTTTTTTTGTCAGGCCTGTTTTAGGCACTCTGAGGAAAAGAAAGAAAGGAAGAAGAAAAAATAGTGGTTGCCTTTACAGTAGTCAACGAATTATTCAGCTTAACAAACAGAGACGTAGCTATAAAATGCCCTCTGGTGGCTGGCAGGGCACTGAGGGATAGGGAGTGATTTGTGCTCTCGAAGGAGAGCCCCAAGTCCAGGAGGGATGGATGCTGGCTCTCCCAGAAGCGGCAGGCGAGGCCTGCGCTGGCGTTAGGTGCTAGCGTGGGCTAGTCCATTGAACACGCGCGGCCTGTGCTACGCGCATCGCTGCTTTTGTTCCTGTCACTAAGGCACGTGGCAGCCCGCTCAGTGAGTACGCTGATGGCTTCCCTTGCGCTTGGGAAGCCATGGATGAAGGTTTAGTTCAAACTGTTCAACATATTAGAAAGGTTTGTGGTAGGGAAGCATGTCAATGTCATCAAATCTGCAGAAGCGGGCAGCCTTTTTCATACTCTACCAAAAAGAGCTGCAAAGCAAGGTTTGACAGACTATTCCGTTAGCGTTAGAAAGAAGTACTGCTTCTGTCTCATGTGGTACGCTTGCATGAATGGATCTGTGAGCAGAGAATTGAGTATTTCTTCCACCATTGTCCCAAGCAGAATAGGCATAAGTAAGAGCCAAAAGATCTCTTTAAAAACAGTGTCTCTCGCACACTATCCACAATGCTATTAACAAGGCAACTTTTGCAGCTTAGTTATAGTTAAATATGGGTTTAAAGTACGCAAGAAATTATCTTGGTTGACTATATATTACAAAATTGTCACAGTGCTTAGTAAATCTCTTAAGAACAGATACTAAATTTAAATATTAAAAAAGTAGAATCCTTCCACTGAGGATCACGCTGATCCAGAAAGCACTGCCATTTCACCACAGGTTTGAACCTCAGCGCAGCAATAGTGATTAAGGTGGTTATCATTGGATAACCTGTGTGCAGTGAATGTAGATATATAAAGTTTTTAGAAGCTTGCAGTAAATTGCAGGATCCCACTGTGACTGCAGAAGAAGTATCGGTCTTAATCTACACCAAGGGCCGAGCAGCCAGGAAGATTAAATTATTCTCTCCCTTAGAGAGGCTGCAGCAAGTGTGTCTTGCTCAGCCAGATCCATTTGTATCAGAAAGCCCACTCTCTGGCATGCTCAGTTAAATGCCTTTGTGGCTAGTTAAAAAACAAAGCGACGTAGTGGGCCTCTGATGCTTTTTACGAGTTAGTTTCCCAGGACCCCGAGAGGCGCCATTAAACCGTAACTGGCTGTCCTTAACCATCTGATGGCATTTAGTAGTCACTAGTGGTCCTTCTAACAATGAACCTGTAGCTGCTCCATCAATACTTGGCATTCGTTTCGTGCTTTTACTGTTCTCTACACAACAGGAGTTCAGCTGCTGAGCCATCACTTCGAGAACAGCTGGGCTTTAGCTAGTACCTTCTGTAGTGGGAAGAAATCCAAACGACATGCACAAGAGTGGAGTTTTTCAGATGTCTTTCCTGGAGTTTTGGGGGGGCCGGGGG